ATATATATTTTTATTAAAGACAAAAACAATAAGAATGTCTATAAGTAAGTATATGTCCGAGTACTTTTACTTTAATAACTTTAATTTAAAGTTTATTATGTTCCTTATGTTAACCATCGAACATAGTTCATGTCTGATTTCGTGGTTTCTTCTTTTCTTTTGTCAGGTTAACGAGGAGAGTGTGGAACACATGTCAACGGCCGACATAATAGATCTATTGCGCAAGATACGCGGTTCGATCGGCATCACCGTAATGAGAAAATCGAAACGAGATAATGTAACGTGACGCTAGTCCGACTCGTGATCAAATTGTTTCATAGAAAAATCGTAAAACGAAGGAAAATCTGATGGATATATTCCTTATCAGCGGGCAGCTACGAATTCAAGTCTAGGCATGAGCTTAGCGTGAAGGAAAGGTTTGTCGAAAAGCCAAGAAAAGAAACTGGTTTTTCTCAATAAAATTTTCATTAGGAGATAAATAATAAGAAGAGGAGGAAGAAAGAAAGAAAGATTGAGAAGCAACTAGAAAAATAATTACTAAGGGATGAATAAAAATGAATGTAAAAAGAGGAAGCGCGATAAGAAGTGTCGGAAATTTGGTGGATCTTCTCAATGTCAAGAGGAAGAGTAAATCGGCCATTGTCAGCAACGAAGATTATCCGTAAAGAAGCGGGATAATCTCATAGCATTCGGAAAGCAATGTGGATGCCTGCGAGGAAAACAGGATCGTCCTGGTCAATTATGAAAGACTGCCGTCGGAAAGGATGACGCGGAGAAATGCACAGATAATGCGCATTCAAATAATGTTCTGATGATCATTCGAAGATAAGCGGGAATCTTCTGATGTAGGCCAAGCGACACAAATATTTGAAGTCCAAGGACATCGTAGATGTCTCGCTGAGTTTTCAGTCGCGTCCTAATTTTGCGCGAATCGATATTATTTACGAGCACGTTAAAACCGATATTTTAACGTACTATCGGCTGTCACGCCGGAAGGATGCTCGATACGTCCGTCGTGTCGCGATAGATTGCGCATTAACCGTAGAATAATTCAAGGTACTTCGGTCTTTCGCCGTGTATCGGTGCTTGTTGATAACATTTCCTGACAATTTCCGATAATATTCTCGAAAAGCGATATCCTCTCACTATTAACGCGTATTCTCTAAATGATGAATACAGTAATCAAACTGTCAATCAAAAATCCCGATTATATCGCAAAGTGAGACACGCGGAAGATTCGGACAGCACGAATCGATCGATTACTCGTCGAGTGAACAATATAGTTTTTGTTGTTATGAGACTGCGATACGTATGTATATAACTGTGAAAACTACAGTTTTTAATGTTTTCGAGCGTGTAGAGAGAAACTCGTCTAGGAAGCTAGTAGTACACCCTACATATCCTTGTAAATCGCCTATCCTAGCGATAATTGTTCAATAGAAGTTACGTAGTTCTACGGCAGATGAGTTTAAATAATGAAGCTACTCTTAAGGGAATTCGGAGCTTATAGTGTAATTTTATTTTCTCCCGAATACACACACGTAAAGTCGTTTAAAACTTAAGATTAACATTTAAAACTAAGGTTTCAAATTTTCCGGAGATGCGCAACGGTTTTCCTGATTCCTTCGAAGAACTGCGTTACTGAGAGAAACAGCTGTTGTGTGTATGCGTAGATACTATATTTTTATTCCACAAAATGTAACTTTTTACGAAGAGAGAAAGAGAGCTTGATATCTACTATTGCGCGAGTTTATATATAACGTAAAGACAAATTAATTAATTCTACAAAATTAGGTATCGTCGTGCGGCAGCTAATTGACATTTCGGCATTTTAGCCGTGTCAAATATTACACGAGAATACGCAGCCGTTGTTATTCGTACACTTAACACCTGTGCGGTAAGAACAACTCAAAAGAACAGAGTTTCCTCACTAACAAAGAAAAAGATGTATAATCTATTTTCAGCAATTTCCCTTCGATTAAAATAAATAATAAATAAGGCACGATTGGCTTTACACATCGAAAGCAATCTTTACGCCGTGATAATATCTCACTTTTGTCGAAGCTACTATCTCTGGTCCCCTAGCAAATCAAAAGACAATCTGTCCGTAGCAAGCGGCAAGAATTTGATTGGCGTAACTGATGGTAAATAAAAATGTATGTACAATGACGGATTACTTGTGAAACAATGTATTAAGTGCATCTGATATTTTGATCTTCCTGCTATTTTTGAGGAGAGTCCGCGAGCACCTCCCACACGGGATAGAAGTTAGAGTTGCTTGTATCATATTTCGGGATGTGTCAGCGATCGAGTAACTACCTCGCATGATGCCATACCACACCGGAACGGAGACTAGGAGTTCGTTAATTGTTTAGGCGGATTTGTTTAGGGGAAATTAGAAAAAATATCCTGCGCGCGCAAAAAAGTATCTTCTAAGGGAAGGGTAACAAAATAAAAGAAAGAAATCGCAGAAAGAGAAATACAGTTATAACCGTTCTATCGAGACTCGAGAGCGTTAAAGTTCCGCTATGAGGCACTAGACGGAAGTTAGAGACGAAAATCTGTTAAGATTTACCATTAGCGAAGCCTCTTAAGCAGTAGAAAAATTCTCATTCCTGCAGCAACGATACGCCTTGTACTTTACAGGGGAAAAAAAAGTGTCGTACACAGTATAAAGTGGACTATAACGGTGCAATAATGTTAAATAAGAATTAGGGAGGTAATAAATGTGATAGTCGTTCCGTTAGAACGTTAGCGCGCCTATAAGTCTACGAGGATTATTTAGACGAGTATTCAAGCTATAATCGCGACTGCACGGTGTGTACATATAAAGTTAACTGTATAATTGTATAAATCGATACCAAAGTGTATTAATATCAAAGTTATGTAATATCAAAGACAGATATTTTACCTGTAAGCGATCGTTAAAGACGAACAGCTATATTTTGACATTATGTTAAGCTTATTAAATTATTGTTAGCGACTATGAATATATCTGAGATGCGTGTAAGTCGTGGTCGCGATTTGCATCGATATCACTCTATCACTGTTGGTCTCTTTTCCGTTTGGAACATATAATATATTCAATATTCAATAAAATTTAATGTCTTTGATAAAGATTTCGATATTTTCCCTACCAAGCACCGGAATGAAGTGACGAAACATTGATATGGATGGAAAAATATGATCCTTAAAATATGATACTCAAAATCCCGACAATCTTGTCATATATTTTATTGCTTAGGTATATGTAATTTTCTCTCAATGGCAATATTAATTCATAATTACATTGAAAATACTCAATACGATCGATATTATATAAATTATATATCAGCATTTAATGCAATCAGTATATTAGATGATTTTGAAATAAATTTACAAAACAAGATAATATATGTTACTGTATGTATAAAATTACAAAATATGCTTGACATAAACAAAACATTTGAATGTTATGCAATAACGATATAAGATACATATGTCATTGTTATGCCATTTTATTTAAAAAAGATAGAATTGTGTTTATATTTTATGTTTTTGTACATACCAAATTTGCACTATACATTTTGGCAAAAATACTAACAATAGTCAAATATGTCAAAAATTTGAACCACAGATTAATCATAAGAAAGTCCAGTCTTCCTTATTCTCACACATTCTATAATATTCAATAAAATATATAAAAATTAATTTCCAAAATTCAATTTTATCTTCGTGATTCAATTTATATTTACTTTTCTCGATTAATTTTGCTTCTTAATCTAGTAGATCTTTTCACAGAATTATTTACACTTCTTGCACAAGTTGCACGTAATTGTACTTTCTCCTTTCGCGATTCCTCCTCAATTTGCACTGTAGACTCACCAAAATTTTCATTATTGAATCTAATCGTCTCACTAAGACCAAATCTGGCCGATTTTCTGACATGCATCGATCTATCCGCAATCCTTTCATCGTCGCTTAATACGAACGTCATATCACGCTCTCGTTTTCGAAGAGCATTTGTATTGTCACGTGATCGATTCGACGCAGATGCAACAATAGTTCCATCCATCGATTCCATGTTTTCCTTCTCGAATTTTATGCGATGGGGCGTATACTCTTTTGCATTACATAATTGTTGCTTTGATTCCTCTGCAAAAATCAAATCTTTCTTTCATTTTATCTGAATATTTTATATACCAGCAAATTTATATTCTTAAAAAGTCTAAGAATTTTATACTTACCATCGAGTCGATCATCAATATCATCAATATTATCAACGATTATTGTATCATGTTTGATGTCTTTTATAAATTGATCTGCAACCTCATCACGTAATTCTTCTCTCCATTTATCTACAGAATGATAGTGTATATCATATTTCCCTTGATTGTGTCTTATATTATCATTATTCCTCCTTGTGAGTAATTCAGCTTCTTTTCTACTCTTCGAAGCAATTTCACTGAGCTTAGAACATGATTTTTTGGCATGAATGTTTATTCTATTCTCTAAAACATCACATTCTTCTGCATGAAAAGCATTTGTTGTGTTATTAGGCAAATTAGAAGCTACCTCTTTGTGTATCAAAGTATTTTCAGAAGATAATTCAGTCTTTATACTTTCTGCTTTTTCAATGGAACTAACTAAAGTTGAATTAATATTACAAGGAACGTTTGAAGTATCCTGTTTAGAAGTAAGACCAGATTGATTGCTGTTATCGTTGGATGAACTAGATAGTTCAACTGTCAAAAAATTCATAGGATCCTCGCTGGAATATACTTGCAAGGGACAAGATGTATTTGAATCGGAATCATCGATATACGAATTCATACGCAATAAATCGTCTTTTTCGCTATCTTTGACAGTTGATCTGTCTTTTGCGCAATCTCTACTACCAGAATTTCCTTTACTTAATATTTCGCGTCTAACGGGAAATTTTCGCGCATTATCAGCAGTTTTTATTCTTGCAATTATCTGGTCAAAGCTATCCTTGTATTCAGTCACTAAAAATAAAAAAAGAAAAATTTAATAGTGTATGCATATACCTCTATGTATATGTGTAAATAACTTGAGGATACTTACAATATATTTTTCTTTGTTGTTCAATAACATTGTGTTCTGTATTTCTATTAATATTCAATTTCTATAGAAAAAAATATTTTAGTATACAAATAAATTATAAGCTAATATATAACTATACATATATATATAACTATACATATTGTATCACCTTAACATTTAATGGTTTTTGCATTTTCTTTTCTAAATGTTCTTCTTCTTCGCACTGTTTAATTAACTCTGATACAGATCTTGGATTTATTTTATCACATTCTGCATTATAGAGAATAATATATCTTTGCAGTCTGTTCTCTAACATTCTTCTGTCTCCTTGAGACGATAATCCAAATTCTTTTAGCTTTTTTCGCATTCCACTCTCTTTCATTAAACTTAGTACTAACTTTGCTAATGGTTTACGTTTTAGCTCAACCCTGTAAACACAAGTAGATACATAAACAAATATTTTGTAAAAGAACATTAAACAATGTATTAATTTTCCCTGCAAAGCCCAAGAAATAAAAATAGCATGTAGTATAACATACTTTTTAGGTTGATCCTTTGTATTTTCTCTTTTTAAACAATCGTCTAAATGTTTATTAATATTATTTTCAGGCACATCTACTTTACATACTGGACATGTGACCACCTTACAATTTTCCTGGTTTCGAAAACCTTTCTTACTTTTTGGTGTGAAAATTGAAGGTATTTTAGGTGATGTGCTAGTACTAGGACTTGATATATCTTGATGATAAATTCTTTGCACACGAGGTGTAGAAATAGTTACTGTTGGATTATCAGAATCTTTATGTGATATTCCACTTGCACTGGGAACATGTGTTTCTTTCTTAAACTCAACATTGCTCAATGAACATGTATCTTTAGAATCATCATTCTTTACAGCTTCTATTTCTTTGTGATAAAATTCCTTTTCCAATTTTCCCTCAACATTTAAATATTGGGTGATAATTTCATCCAAAATTTTATTTGTTCTCAAATCTTTTTCAAAGGTTTCCGTGAAACAGATAGGACATTGTGTTTTATAAAGCAAATACCTTCTAATACAGAGAGAACAATCTATAAATGATAAAACGTAAAATTATAAGATATACATATATATGTATGATACATATTTTCAGGATTTTTGCAAACTTACAATTGTGAGAACACAAAGTCATCACACTAGTGTCCATCAAAGTGTAACAAATCCCACATGTTAATAACTCTTTAATACGCTAGAATAATAAAACGACAAGTTAATGCATGTCACTTCTCATAAAAATCATATTAAGTAAAATTACAGCATTACAGTCATTTTGCTTACCTTTAATTCTACGTATTTTGTTGGCGACATGATAAATCACAGATTTTAAGGTTAGAAAAATATAGAATTGAAAACCATACTTTTATACACATAATTCAAATTATATCAGTCAATATCAACATAGTATTAAAAGGAAAATCCGTCATAATGGAAAAGAAATTAACGAAAAAGCCAGGTACGAACTAATTGTTTCTCGCGCGCCTTTTTGTTGACCACAGCTAATTTAGGCTGCGTTCGGAAACGTCACTCGAGTACTCTTCCTCTCTTTTTATCTCACTCTTGTATCTCGCTCACTCCAACGTAATGGGTACACTTGGGTAACATTTCCGAACGCAACCCTAGTTGACTGCTAGGGTGCGTTCAAATTCTTCATCCGGGTGCACTCTATTACTAGAAACACTATAGTATATGTTACATATACTATAACACTTCTAGTAATAGAATACACCCGAGTGTGGAATCTGAACGCAGCCCTACACAGGAGGTACAAGGCCTGTTCTTTGGCTACATTCCGAAATTCACTGCCAGTACTGAAATAATATAATCCAATCCTATAATATACGTAACATGAACTATAGATTTTCAGTACTGGCAGTGCATTTCGGAACGCAGCCTTTGTAGCTGTACAGCTGAACTGGTGCAATATATTGAAGTGAGACAAATATACGTTTTCTCACTCTAACTTATTGTACTAGTTCAGCTACAAAGTGCAGCTACAAAGAATAGGCCTACAAATTTTCTCTTGTAAAAATTGGTCCTTGCCGAAATCGACAAAAAATGTAATTTCGTTAAAAAAATTCATAACTTAACAACATATTAAAATTAACAAAAATATTTTCAGGTTTTTTTAGATAAAACTATTTTCTTAAAAAAAAAAGTTCTATATACTGATTTAAAAAAGTATAATTATTTGGATGATTGAAAATAAGGATGATTGAAATATATTTCTAAGGTGACAAGAATTCAAGAAAAAGATGATTTCTTACAAAAATTAATCTTTATTATAGGAAAATTGGCGGAAATAATTACAAAATGTCATGACAAAATAAAGTGAAATTGCTTCGTCGTTTAAGCCTAGTATAACTCAGAACAAAAAGATCTCAGTTGGAACAAGAAAGGAAGCATGTGTTTTCTCTTGACGTCGGGTGCTGTCAAATCGATTTTTTTTCGAATTTTCGGAGAACGGATGACGCTACGAGTCTCATACTCTAAAACTATAATTCTTAAGCCTAGCACAACTCAGAACAAAAAGATCTCGGTTGGAACAAGAAAGGAAGCATGTGTTTACTCTTGACGTCGAGTACTGTCAAATCGACTTTTTTACGAATTTTCGGAGAACGGATGACGCTACGAGTCTCATACTCTAAAACTATAATTCTTAAGCCTAGCACAACTCAGAA